CAGAACCTGAGGAGCTTTGCATGACTTTACCCCAAGAAGCACCACACCACGTGGCCCTAAAGGAGCTCCAGCTCTTGTATTAAACTGGTAAAGGGATTTCCTGAATTCAGTTCAGAACTTCTCCACTCCCACTCAGCACATTCCTGAGGAACCTGAGGCAGCACCACAGCCATCGTGGTCCACTGCCCACCCCAGTGCCACTGCTGAGCCCCAGCATCAGCTCCACCTTATCCCAAAGCCTCACTGCCATTTTCTTAATGAGCAACCACCTCTGCCACAGGTGCTTCGCCCTCGGGCTCCAGCTCTGTGCCCAAAGAGCAGCACTAAGAGAGAAAGCAAGCAGGACAGGAATCAGGAGGTGTGGGGGGTCCTAATAGTGCATTATGGTCATCCCCTGACCCCCAGCAATTGGCCCCAGCACTGCTGCTGGAAACCACAGCTGATCACAGCCATTAATCACTGCACGGAGCAGCCCGGTGTGCAACACTTTGCTCAGCTGTGCCACACAGGCACGTAATTAGGTGAGCTAATTACTTACAGAGTAAGGTTACAAAGCAACCACTCTTCAGACACCAAACCCAATAAAGAAATGGGCATTGGCAGCATGAATACTGTTAAATACAGCTCGGTGATGGCTCCCTAAATCTGCATTCACTCTCACACGCGGCACTCGTTTGGATATCGCTATGGAAAAGGTGAGATGCTCTCCGGTAACATTCATCACCTGATACCGCCACAATCAGCAACATTTCGCATTGCAGCCACTTCTCCATTCCCACACAGGGACTTTCGGGGAGGTTGGTGCCGCATGCCCACGTTTTCCTCTTGTCCTACAGCACGAACGCGCTGGATCGAGAAAACATTTCCTGAGAGTTCGACAGCCGCGATTTTGGACTTGGAGGTTATTTTGCCGCGTCGCACGAAAGTGAAACAGTTACAGACGAGCAAACGTGCGAAGTGTGAGAGCCACGAGTCGCTCGGGAAGCAAAAACGGAGCTCCGGGAACGCCGTCATTGGATCCCAGCACACGGCAGCGCAGCCGCTCCTCGGGACGGGCATCGGCGCGGCAGCAGCGCCCCCTGGTGGCCGCGCGGGGAAACGCACGAGGGGGCGCCGAGCCCGACGGAGCGGACGGCCGCATCCACACAGCGACCCCAAACCTTTTGCACTATAAGGATTCCTTGTCGTCCCTCGCCCCAGCGATGGCAGCTCCCCAGATCACCCCGCTATAATTTAATATTGGAACTTATCAGAAGCATTAAGGCTGAGTTAACCTTAACAGAGACGTTCTGAAGCGAGTCCTTAACATCTGTCATAATGCAGGAAGCTGCGCCCTGGAGGCATCCCAGAATGTTCTGCTCGCTGCTCCCCCGTGCAGAGGGGCAGTTATGTGGAGGATGTGAGCATCGCCTCTTGCTTGCATACATTTCAACGCGATTTACAGCTTTGTATGGAGTAGATCCGCTTTCATTTAGTATTTAGTAATGAATGCACCTCGATAAGGATAACGCGACCTTTGTAGTTTCGTTTTAATAAGGAGAGGAAATCGCCGAGATTAGTGATTTTCAGTGTTAATAACTTAACAAGGTAATAGACCTTGTAATTAAAAATAAGTTTAAGGAGATTACGAAATGATTTTGATCATGATTTAAAGACCAATTACAGAAAAATCTCATTCTTCTCTTTCTAATTAACTACATTGCAAACAGCGACGCTGAGAAGTTCTGAAATGAACCGTTTTTGTTGGCGAGGCCGTTTGCATGCCCTGCATTAGAAAAGTTTAACAAAAAGAGCGTCCTGGGCTCCTTAAAGAGCGTGGTTGGAAAAGAAAAGGCACAGGAAGGACGCCATTAACTCTGCTGCTTTGTGGCGTTAGGATTCATGGCCCCGAGGATTGCTGCTCTACCGGCCCTATACGAGGGTTTGGCACAACCACAACGACCCTCAGCACTACGGGAACGCAGCTCTGGTTTGGGAGCTGTGATATTTTAGGAGCGCACAGCAGCATCCCAAACCTCCTGCACGAGGATTGCCCTCCTAAAACACAACGCAAGGAGCAAGCCCTAAGCAAAAGCAAGCCCAAAGCAGCCGGCCAGCCTGGCCTGCAGCAACAAAACTCATCATCGTGCTGAGACCTCAGCAAGCAGCCATTCACACAGACTCTAATCGTGTGAAATGCTCGTTTTGGGGTTGGCTTTATGCGATAGTTTGATTACAGCTTTAAAGCAGCTTGCTTTATTTTATTAAGCTTGCTGCTGCTGCACCAACATCCCATCTCCATCCTAAAGGAGACGTTTGCTTTGGGCCAGCTCTAGCTGCATAGTAAGGCAGTTCAGTGTAACAGGGAGACTAAAAACCAAACTAGGAACAAAAGATTAAAAGAGGAAATCGCATCCGGGCTGAGAACACACCTACCTTCAGGAGCAGGGATGCACGGCGTGGGGACGGATGGACAGACAGCCGTAGCACAGCCCATCCGGCGGTGCAGGTGCTCATGGCCCCGTGCCCCACCTGCTGCTCTCCGTTGCTCTCAGCCGTTGGTTCTCACCGCACGTTTCCTAAATCAGGAGCAACTTTCAAGTTTCCCCGCCCGCAGCTCCGCGTGCAGCTGCCTCCAGCCGTGCTGGAACACCTGCTCGCTTCGTGGCAGCTCTGCAGGGCTGTCAGAGCGCCGCTCCTCTCCTCAGCCTGTGTGAGGAGAATCAAAACGGCCCATTTCTGTTTCCACTCTTTTTGTGGCGTTGTAGAAATCCCACACCTTCGTCCCCCATAACTCACAGCACCCAGCTTACACAAACCTCGCTCTGCTCCCCTGCACGCAGCCGAGCAGCAGCCGAGCACAGCTGGATGCTCTGAGCTGGTGCAGGATGGAAGTTAAGCTATTTTAAAAGAGCTGATGTCCTGGGTAGCAAAAGTGAAATGTATCATTTGTTTAAACAATCCTACTCGTTATTTCTGCCTTCATTTCACAAAACCCAACTGATGGGAACCTACATAAACAGAGCTTCAGCCTTCCCCTCGAGAAGTTAAATCAGAAAGCTCTTCACTGCTATTTTATTTCTTTTATCAGAATACAGATGGAAGCCATAATTCACCTTAACACGAGAAAGTTCCCTTTCTGCTGTAAAGGAACTCATCAGACATTTCTTGTTAGTAAGATCTGACATAAATCTGTTTGCTTTTTCCTCTATTTGATCTCAGCACCTTATGAATTTTTCATTGCCTGCTCTTAATTTTCCACAAGCAAATTCAATTAAAGAAATTAAAAAGCAGTAGTTGAGCCCTGATTACCTCATCAGCAAATGGCTCCTTTATTGCACCAGGGATGACATACACCCCACTCTCCTGGTGGGACTGGAGCCCTCACAGAATTGGATCATGTGAAACCTTTCCCCTTTTATCAGTGCTATTAGGAAGCAGCTCATCAAGCCACCCAGCCAATTCATCCAGGTGCTTCCCTGACAGGCAGCATTCCAGGGGTTATTGCAAATGAAAAGATTTCCTTGTGTAGCAATCAGACAGATCAATATGATGGGAAAGGTGTTACAACAAAGGTGTGATGGTGGAAGGACCAACATGATAGAAAGGTGCTATAAAGGAAGAAAATTGCTCACCATATCAGAAGATCCCAGCTTTGCAGTGGAAAGCTTCACCAAGAAGGGGTCTCCAGGAAGAGATACTTCTCCAGTGGCTGTCAGCCCTTAAATGGGGTCTAAGAGAGGTGCAGCCAGGCTGCAGCCCTTCCACTCATTGTGAAGCTGAATTGCCTTCACCTGTGCTCCCAGAGCTGACCTGGTCCTTCCCCAGGTGCTCCATCAGTGGTTCAGGCTGGGACTCAGCAGTTCCCATACACAGTGATATTCCACCATCATCATTATGTAAATTGATTACCACAAACTTTCTGCTCCAGTACCATCACAGAGCACTGAGCCTATCAGCTGGGGCAGCTTCATACAGACACCACCAGCCCCATGGAGCCCCAAGCACTTATAATACATGAGCATCCCAGGAGTGCATCTGCTCAGACAACCTCCAAATGAAACTTGCTGTTTGAGGAACTTCAAAGATTTCAGGTGAATGTTAATTTCCTATAATTTAAAACCACTAAGAATAGTTTCCCTCAGTGTCATTGGTAAAGAGCCTTATTAATAAAAATGCAGATTTAAAAGAAAATTCTCTCTTACTTGTGAGACAGTGTGGAAAACAGCCTGAGCAATGAGCAGCTCTTCATCTTCAGTGCTTGGAAGGAAGCATGGTTAGCTGCACACTGCTACAAAACACGTGTGTGAGCCACGGCTTCACGATCTCCTATGGGTCACCTAAAGAAAAAAGACTTCTGTACTGATACGAGTGGCAGGAGGGCAAGGCTTGAGATGGGATTTTCTCCTCAAAGGGCACCACGTGCATGAGCACATTCAGCAAAGACAGATAAAGGGCCTTTACAAAAGAGAATGTATTACCTTCAGCAGTACGGCCAAGGTGGCCTAATTGCAAGCAGATGCAACTCACAGCACTAAGGCTGCAGGGTGAGTGTTGTCACAGTATTGCAAAATACACTGCAGGGGCAGCAAAGCAAACCACAAAGAAGCAGGTTTGGTAACTGATTCCAGGTTAGACCTGTGAGAGGTTCCCCTAAGAAGCTCACACCAAGCAATGTGGCTGTTAGCTGTGCGCTTCTTCCTCCAGCAAAAGTGTTACTTTTTATTTAAATTTTAAAACCTGTGGGTTTGGTGGAAGGTACACAACTGCCCCAACACAGAGCAATGTCACCAGTAACAAAATATGACTCTGGATACGCTGCCCAATCCCAAGTTGAAGCAAGCTCGTTATCATAAGGCACTGTATAAAAGTAGTGAAATAGGTAAGATTAAAAAAAAAAAAAACAAAAAAAAAAAAACCACAAACTTATTATTGTCATTTATTTTAAAAACCTTATTCAAAAATACTAAGTGATACAAGTCCAAATATGATAAAAAATACTGCAAGAAAAGATTTTGGGGTATTTTTGTCTGTACTTTACTTTCTGGTGGTTATGAAAACAAAGCAAATTACAATTTGTAACACTTCATTTTTAAGGCAGGATTGTGCCTTTGGGTTCCTCATGCCAACGGCTGCAAATCCTTTATTTTTTTTCCCAAAATGGTTTTCACTATTCACTATTTGAATACCCAGTCATTAATTATGGACTTTCGCCCCATCGTTATTTACATATTTATCAACTTGAAAACAAAATCACCAACAGAATGTACAGAAAACTACGATTTTATATTTTACAACTTATGAAAACATAAATAATGGAAGTAGAAAAGACAAGGTTTAAACAAAACAGACCACCCTACCGTACCGCTAACTTGCTTTACACTGCTGTGTAAAAGGAGAGTTGCTGGCTGCAGACCTGCAGTCCCACAGTGCTATTTCCATCTGCCTGTTACCCGGGTCAGAATAACAACAAAACAAAGCATTCTTACTCTCTCAGCCTACTCCTGTTTATAACAGACCAAACCACAGACCTTTTTTCCCCAACGGATTTAAAATTCAACAGAAAGCTTTGCTGTATTGGAAGCCTGTCAACTACCTCTATTCTAGTTCAGTTTATTGAACAAGGCTTATTTTTCCATTCATTAATTTCAAAAGAAAATGAAATAGTCATTAATATCAGTCGGCCAGTCACAAAGCTGCACACCTTCTCACAGATCAGGAACGTTTTGCAATATGTAACTTCTGAAATCAAATGCTTTCTACATAATTATTTTTAAATGATTTGCTGCATGAGCACATACAAAAATTATGAAATTGTCATGCCAGCTATTCTGCCTAGAATAGGATCAAGCTATGCAAAGCAAGAACAGAACCAAAAAAGACAAGATGAAAGATCTGCAGCATCAGAATTTGAGCACGGGAAAAAGCAATTATATTTTAAGTTTGCAATATAGCAAGATTTATGAGCCATATAAGTGATTAGCAAAGAGATATTAATTTGATTTAGTGATGCCAAACTCATTAATTTATTAGACCTAAAATATTTTATGCTTTTTTTTTTTTTTGATTGGTATTAAGATTGCTCCAGACAGAAATGAAGAAGCTTAACGAATGGAAACGGCACTAATTATTAAACTGTATCTCTACAGCTGATCTAAAATCTGACCAAAGTAGCAAACAGATGCATGTGCCCTTGATCCTGCATGAGATTTAATCTCAAAAACATCCAGGTCCAAGAGACTACCTCTCACTTCAGTACAAGTGGCATGTTTAGAATACCTGGATATCATTACATGACTAGGCAGGCAAAGAGTGATAAGTTGAGCAAACTCAAATCACAGTGCTTTCAAAATACGTAGTCATTAGTAATTTTCAGAGAAGGCATTGCTTCATTAACGTTTTGGTCTAAACGATGATATTCTACTGTTCTGGAGCACAGCCCATCCCTCCATCTTCGGCTCTGGACCAGTAAGAAGATCTGAAAGAAAAAGAAGCCCATTTACATTGTGATATGGAGAAGCATTTTGGTTTAGACAGCCAGCTTAACAACTGTATTCACACCACAACTCTGCTCAGTTATCCTGGCAGTGATATTACTGCTTCTATAAAACACAGCACGAGAGTTAAATATTTTCACAGCATCCATGCCATCAAGTCACCTGCTGACAAATTCAGTTGCAGTTTGGCAAAACACAGCACCCAGCCCATAAATCCTTCAGTACAGATATTTGTGTAGCATCAGTGGTAGTGCATGCACTGTTTATAATCCTGTGCAATACCAAAATTACCTTCACGCAACATCACTCAGCTCTCATGTCTGCAACTTAGTAATAGACACTACCAGTGTTTAACATGAGCTGAGTATCAATGCTATCATTTCATTTTCCAATCTTAAATGTTTGATTCAAATTCATTTTCATTACAGAGATAAAAATGGCAGTAACGATCTGCACACTGGTGGCACAACTAAGTTAACTGATCAAAGATTTCATCTTCCAAAAAGCTAAGCTCCTACTCTAAAACAGTTTAGAAAGCAATACAACTTTGCTTTAAATCCTGAAGTCATTTCTCTCAACCTTTCAAAGCACACTTACTTTCCTCTTATTGTGATAGGTGACATAAACAACAGCTACTAAGAAGGCAACTATAACCAGGTGAAAAAAGAAATGGCTGTCCTCTTCTTCTTCCAACCCTGAGACAGACACATATTTGATCTTTTCATCCAGCGACTTGATCTCCTCATTGTAATTGCTGATGGTGTCAGAGTCATCATCTTCTGGCATTTCGAGGAGGTCTGGGTTGTACCTGGAATTTGATGTCATTTCAAAAGTATCATAGTCATCTCCATCTGAATCCATAATTTCTTTTTCTATGGGCGGTGAACTATTCAGTGCGTCTTTCAAATCTGTCAGAAGGTCTTCTTCCTCAATTTTAGTATCCTCAGAAGCATCAACGTCCACTTGAGATACAGGACTAGCAGTTACCACACGAGAAACGTACGGCACAGAATCATCTTTTGCTGTGGATGGTTTTCCTATGGTGACAGAACTGATTTTAGCTGTTGTGGGGTTTGTCTCTTTTTTTGTTGGGGTTACACTCTGCCAGTTGTCTGTCAAATTTTGGGAGCTGCTTAGTGTTTCATTCTCATTTCCATAAGAAATATTTTGAACCAGTTCCGTTCTCACAGCATCTGAGAAAGGGATGAGAAACAGTCAATATTAAGGACAAGGCACTAACTTCAACTATAAACAGAAATTACTGCAGGCACAGAAAGAAATCTTACAAAGACAGGCAGGATAGATTTCATACCACAAACCTTTACAAATTCATACACAGAAATACACAATCCTGCACTTCAGCAACTTCAAAAGAGAAGCCTTAAGTGAGGCAAGAACAATAACCTGAGTTATATAATAACACTTACTGGACACGTGTGCCAAATTCAGCATGCTCATTTCCCAGACTTGGAAGGTCAGAGACGTGTCTTCGCTCCCCTTGTAGATTTGTACAGACCTGATCACTTGGTCCCCATTTTCCCTACAACCACAGCTGTTCATCACCAGGGAGATCTGAATCAGGAAGCAACATGCTGTAAACCTGACCTGTTTGCTCTTTTCTATTTATTTCTTTTTAGAATTAAAAAAATGGCTACTTATAAACTCCTAGATTCAAATCAAGGAGGCACCTTAAAAGTGAAGAACACATTTTAAAATTTCAGCAGGCCTTTCAATTGGAGAACCATACCTGCCTTGTATTTTTGGCACGTCTAACTTTACTTAAAAGACCAAGGAACAAGACTTCCATTAAGTGCTCCCGAGGTGCTCCCTGCCTCACCGGAAAGTTACAGATTCTAGAAATGAAGCACTGAGCCAACTGCTTGTGTCAAATTACTCCCAAGTAAAATATTATTCAGGGGATACTGAATCATGTTATTCATGTATACATATATTTACAGAGGATCAGTTACAACTCTTCTTGTTTGTATGGCACCTTTTTCTAGCATGAATTACTCTTTAATCAACCAGAGAACAGAGAAGACTCACTCATCCCATGTGAACCAGATATGATGGTTTCTCAAGGCTTAAGCTCCAAATCAGCTGCTTTAAAACACTTGTCATTGCTGAAGAAATTATTAGTCCAGAACATCACCATTAACAGTTCAATTCTTGTAGAAGACAAGCTTAGGGAACTCTTCTCTCCTCCCAGGAATAAAACCAGTTAATTGCACACGTGGAGATAAATATGAGGAAAGGCAGCTGCAAGGAAAGTCTCACATTTATAGCTAGTTAGCTTTTAACAGACAAATCAGTGTTATTAATTTACTCAATTAAAAACTTCACAGAGACAAGAAAATACACTGGATGCAAATTATCTAGTTATTGCTATTTGTCTTCATTCAGAAAAGGAAGAAGAATCTCTCTTAACAAATACTCCATTCCAATTTTTGAACTAAGTAATTCTGATGAACATCTCTCTCTCTCTCTCCAAAATGTGCTTCTATCATTAGATAGGGAAATGAAAAGAACACCTCACAAACATTTCTCATCTAAGTGCTCACCCAGAAGGAAGAACAGGAGGGAAGCAGATACAGGTTCTTTGTATCTTTCCCATAGGAAGGGCATGTCAGCAACTGCCCAGTAACACCTCCACATCTCTGGACTGTGATGTCAGAGCCCAAATATAGTCACATTCAGTTAATTCTTTGGAAGGTCACTTGCATCAAATTAAAATATACATGCTATTAAGGACCTGATCAGCAAAGCAAGGAACACTGCTTTAATTTTCTACACCTATTCTGAGCACAAACGAGCGAGAAGGAATAACTTCCTCTTACTCCTGAAAAATTTCAGCTCTTTAACAGGAGCGGCAAGCTTAGCACCGAAACCAGCACTGATTGATGATATCCACTCAAAACTATTTGGCACTATAATGGGTGGCTGCATTGTTTGCAGTTACACAACACTGTCCGATGACATTAGACATGGTGCCTGGCTCCAGAGATGCCTTATCTTCAGAAATAGATATTAATGTTTAACCGTGGCGACAGACGAACTAGCAAACATTGCCTGTAAAAATACCTGACAGGGTTACAAATCACTTCCAGGGAAATTTACTTGTTAGAAAGCAAAGTGGCACTAAAAACTCTTCGTTTCCTACAGTTTTCTGTTCCATACCCTGCAGGAAGGAGGGGAGATTTAGGTTGGACATCAGGGGGAAGTTCTTTACAGAGAGAGTGGTGAGGTGCTGGAACAGCTGCCCAGAGAGGCTTGAACACCTCCATCCCTGGAGGTGTTCAAGGCCAGGTTGGATGGGGCCCTGGGCAGCCTGGTCTAACATTAGGTGGGAAGGTTGGTGGCCCTGCATGTGGCAGGGGGGTTGGAGATTCATGATCCTTGAGATCCCTTCCAACCCTGGCAATTCTGTGATACCCTGAGCCACCTCCTCCATTATTCCCCACCCATCAGGCAGGCAGAGCAGCTGTACTGCAGCACTGGGGCAGGAAAGGAACCACAGGTGCAGAACAGCACTGTTCTGTCCTTCAGATGCTCTCTTCACCACCCAAGCAGCAGCCCACCTAAAACAAACAGTAATTCACTGCCTTCGAAACGCATCTTATTGGTAAAGCTGGCCTGCAGGTTCAAGAGTCCGAACTAAGAATCAGAACGATACAAACTTTATGAATGCAGCTCCAAAGGTCACACCTCCTATTTTATGATGTCAGCCCAAGCCACCAGAGGCAGACGGTGGTGGTGGGGCAGTAAAGCTCCAACATCAGACACGGTGCCTTCCCACCCACCAGCATTCCCTGCTGCCTGAGGAACCTTCCTGGATCCCAACCCGGGCTGTGAGCACCCCAACTGGGCACTGCAGTCACTTCCACTGCTGCAGAGTTGTGGCACACGCAGCTCCTCGTTCATTACGGGCAAAAATGCACTGCTAACGGTGGCGGCTGTGGGGAAGAACCGTTGTTTTTGGGGATATCTGTGGTCGTTTCTATGGAAATAAACGGGAGGCAGAACTTTCGGAGCGAGCTACGTGTGAAGAACAGCCGGGAGCAACGGAACAGAGCGGGATTAACGGCACGGGACAGCTTGCGGGAAAACAGCAGTCAGGACGGCAATAACGGAAGGAGCACGGAGCTGACACCGCTCCCGGCGGGTCGGACGGAACCGGGCCGATTTTTAGGTCGAAATGTGCCGAACATGATGAAGAAGAAAAACAACAAAACCACGGCCGGGTGTCCGCCCTCAGCACCGCCTCGCCCCCACGCAGCAGCCGGGACCCGCCCACCCCCTGCCGAGCTCACCGGAGGCCTGCAGGCCGCGCGCCGCCACGGCCCAGCCGCACAGAAGGACGAGGCAGAGCGCGCGGCCCGCCAAGGAACGCACATCGCCGGCGGCCGCCATCTTGCCGGGCACCCCCACGGACGTGGCGACGGCACCGCCCCCACGCAGGGAGGGCGGCGCGCATGCGCAGGAACGAAAACCTGCGCGCCGGACGTGAAACCACCGCGCATGCGCGGAAGGCGACGCGCGTGCGCTCTGGGGAGCGCGGTCCCTCTGTGGCAGCGGGAAATGGCAGAGCCGGGCTGACAGGAAGAGGGCGGGGCCTAACCTCAGCTGGAGGCCGCTGCCCTCGGAAGCAATACGGCCCCTCGCTGCCCTCGGGAACGCCGAGCAGGGTTATGGACTTTAACAGGAGGGAAATAACTGCTCGCCGTTATCCCCAACGGCAGCCATGGCAGCTGGGGGTTGATGCTTTAACAACGCCCTCAGTAACTTCTGGTTCTCCCCGAAGCACCTGCTTGTTGCTTCACTGTCTGTTCACAGGTGATAGAACTGTAGTATTACGTTCGAATGGTCGAAGCCCTTCCACACAGGCACCGGTCAGCTTCCATACAAGGCAGCCAAGATTGGGCAGAAGGCCTGAGCAGGTGAAAAGAATCCTTGTTTTTTTAATGCATTAGAAAAAAAGACAACTCTGGAGACCAAACGGCTGGTGCTCATTCCTCCTCTCATACTCTATATTTTGGCGATTCTCACGATTTTTAATTCATGTATTTTCCGAGTTCTTTAACATGTGCTACCAAAAAAACAGCACTAAACTGCTGCCCATCTCCCTGCGGATCAAAAAAAAAAAACAGTACAAAATCATCTCCACAGTTAAGACACAAACTCAAAGTAAAAGGTGATATTTCAATATTTTATTCAAGTTGGGTTTGTTTTTTTTTTTTTAATCCAGTTTTAGTAGTGTCAGGTACAGCACTTTGGGGTCTATTTCCACACAAAATGGAAGACTCTAAAAATGTACCCATTTAGTTGCTAAAAAAAAGTGGTAATAAAACAAAAGTCCATTTTAAATTTAGTGATGCAACTATGTGATTGCAGTTACAAACACTCTTCCCTGATTATGGCCCTGTCTTACAAGCTTTCCATTCAGTGCAAGGGAAAGGAACCACAGCACAGGACAAGTAGTATTGGCTGAGTCACATCAAACCTTCTCGGCAGCAGTTACACAAAGTAGACAACCTAAAGTGTTCTGGAGACAGCTGTAGGTGTAAAAGAACCAAATGAGACAAACCGGTTGTGAAACATCCATCAGAACAAAAAAAATAATCCCTTTTTTCAGGCAAGTTTGCACATTCCACAGTGAATTGAGGCCTTAAGTGTCAGAACATTTTGCATAAAGAATGAACAGTGCAACAGTGTTCTGCGATTCTCGACAAATAGTTCTTGTACCACACTAACATAATCCTTGTGCAGTCAATATGTTAGGAAGATATTATTACCTTTACTATTTGCTATCCCATGGCAGCTGACAGATAAGATGGGCAATAACATCCCAGAACAGAAAAAAGAAAAATAAAAGCCTGGAATTTGGACTTTTTAGAATGATTTTTGTCTCCATTTCTGAAACATCATTTTAAAGCTTAGCTGTCTTTAACCAGGACTAGCAGGACTGATATTTAGCATTACTTGCATCCCAGACATACAACATTGAAAGGTACACTATATTCTGAAGGTAGCTATGCTGTATTTTCAAATTAACGATTGTAAAATCTCTTCTTATGCTTCAAATTCCAATCCTAGACCAAGTTTGTGACCACCTGCATTGACATTCTTGCCATCCAACAAAGCTGACAATGTCAGCTTGATACCTGCAAATAGAGAGAAGTGAGAGAAAAGACAATGGTTAAAACTTGGAATGAGCTTTACATTCAGTAACTGCAGTATCTGCATTGCTGCTGTAATTTACTGAGTGGCTGCATTCATGTAATTTGGCAGCTAGCCATGTCACGTCTGGACTTCTTCAAACACTCTGCAAATATTAAATCTTTCTGAATTCTCAAAATTAGGATTAAACAAACCACAGTGACAGAATTTACTTTTTATCATTCCAATAACTAAAGCTCTCAGTGAGTTCACTGCTGGCAGCTTACAGATGAATCTAATTTTAGACTCAGGTATAATGAAAAACTGGCACCTTGATACTTATTCACATTTCTACACCTCTCTAGAACACTGGGATGAAAAGCCCTGAGCCATGTCTGATGCAGTAATCAACCCGCTTGGTATTCTGGCAGCAGATTTTTTAAGACTACATTAAAACCGCTTGGGCAGCTGTAAGACTGCCTTCTTCCTGGAGCAGGAGGCCATGGGAACATCACATTTTCAAGCAGAGAAACTCAGTGACAGGACTTGGTGTCTACAGAAGAGTATCTGATGGTCATTGGTTGTTGCTCTAGCAATCCTGGTTCCAACAGACATCCCAAACCAACAGAACACTCTGTGGAAAAGTTCACCACTGGGTTGCCATACAGAACAGCAGTGTTACAAAACCAACCACATACTGTTGCAAAAAGCCTCTCTGATATTTCGAGACTGAAATACTGTTTACTGATCTCTGAATTTCTTCTGCATAGACTTACCTGGCTTTAAAGTCTGAGTGTATCCCAGTCCGATCAGACTGGAGTTGTTCACTTTAGCCTTAATTGGAGAAAAATACCACATGTAAATAATCTGTTATCTTTCTTCAAAATCCTTCCCATTTGGAAATTAAGCAATGCCTTTTAAATGCATAAATAATTTCATGCTTCAAATCACACACACACAAAATAATCTAGAGTTAACTTCTGCTGTAACTTAAATCCAAAACCAACAAATCTATAGTCCAAACCAACAGTCACTGCAAACTGTGCTTTTGTTGACCACGTTTGTAATTGTCTCAAAAATGTGGATTGAAAATTTTTCAAAACAGTGCCCAATAAATATGATAAAACATTTTGCATCAGTTTCAAGGGAAATCCAATAACTGTGCTCTCATGTGGCCAAAAGGGAGACAAGTAGAGGCATGTGCCAATTGAATTGGCAATAGAATTGGCACATACCATGGAATTGCCTCAAAACTACTTTACTCATTCATTCAAAGTTGCTTCACATTTCTATTACGAGAAGCTACTTTCAAATGCTTATAAATGTCCGTGTATGGCACTCACAGAAAAAGAGGCATCTGGGTCAATCTGATACTTGGCTGCTATTCCAAAGCGAGTGTTGCTGTTACCAGCTGTCCAAGCAAGATTCACAGCAGTTTCCAGTTTATCATTCACCTTCTGGTAAATGGAGCCTCCAAATTCTGTTCCATCATTCCTGGAAGGAACACAGCAGTCTAGGTTTAAACTGTATCCCAAAGCAATCTTTTTTTTTTTTTTTTCCTCAGTTAGATCTCTATTTGTAGAACATTCACTTGCACCTCATTTAATCCCTCTGTAACAACAAAGATTTTGGCCAGATTGGTTATGAAGTCATTTTTAAATGCATAAATTCATTGAAGGTTACCATTTTTCAACAAGCAATGTATAAGGAAAAAAAGAAAGCCATGACAAACTATCAAAAATAAATTAATGATAACAATGACATCCTCCCATTTTCCCTGCTCTGTAGGCAGGAATCTTTATAGAAAAAACATTTATTATTCTCTATAAAACAATCGTGTTCCAAACATGCACCTTCCTGGTGCCCAGAAGAGGCTGCACCTCCATCACAGCGCCTCGTCAGCATGCTTTTACCTCACAAAAATGAACTGCATCACAAGTGAAGGTGCCAATTTAATTTCCGAGCCCATCAGCTCTTACAAATGAACACCACATTTAATGGGCTTTGTGGTATATCCGCATTGTAGAAGTCTCTGGACTTGAAACTGAAATGAAACTCATTTGGGTTTGCAGGGAGCTGTAGCCAACCACAGAATGATGGCAGCCCACAGTTTGGCTACCAAGCAGCAGAACTTCCAGTTACTGCTTACACCAGGGACACACAGGGAATAAAATGGGGTAAATGGAGTGCAAAACCTTACAGCATCCAGATGATAAAAATGGGAAGAAATGACTTGTATAAGCACTGCAGTCCCTCTAAACTAGGGGGGAGCATCTGAACTTCCATTGTAACTCAGTTTCTTAAAAGAGGACACAAATATATTGCACAGAACAGCTTCACACCACAAGATCTTTGCAGATAAATACCTACTATTATTTCTAAATTATGAAATAAATGGGCTTCAATTACTGGACAATAGCAAACCATCAGTGATTTTAAAAAGCAGCTTTAGAACCTTTCCACTTTTACCTCTTTGGCACAGTGTACATTAGTTCAGAACAGTTGCACAGTGATAGCCTAGTTCAAAGTTGAAGCAATAGCAGCAGCTTTTTAAACTGTCAGAGCAATTCTTCCAGAAAAAGGCTACAATACTTACTTCAGATAAGACTGAAGCTCACATATAACTGCATGTGCTTGGCTCTCAAGAAAGGGAGGAATTAAAAAGGACTGAGGAGAGCTGGTTACACAGGCAGATTCTGTGCAAGGTTCCCATACAGCTCTGTCTTGACCTGCAACATTAGGGGGGGGGGGGG